AGACGGGAATCTAACCGCAAATATTGTGTTTTGCGTCTTTGGGTCCTCAGTCACATAGCAGTGTTTACATTTCTTCTTCTTCTTTTGTTGTTAACTTAAAATGCTTCAGATCATTGGACTGACACATGCTATTTCAAGTGTCTGGCTTTATTTTTATCCACTCATTCTTCCATTCCACTTCATTTTTTTTTTTTTTTTAATTTTTACCTCCGGGAAGGAAATGTTGACAAACCCTGAGTCCCTCTTCCGGTTTCTAGGCTGCAGACGGGCTCTAGCAGAAAGCCACATGAAAAGAGCTTTTGGTATCCTTCCTCGAAACGACAGCAACAGAAAGGTTTGGATGATGATATTGCATTTCACTCTTGGCTCTCTGAGCGCAGGAGGAAACCAGCTTGCTAAAGTTGTCGTTAAAGTTCATGAAAGGCATGGTGCCGCTTGTTAGACGCCTCAGTCGAAGTCAGCATTGAGAATGGCACTGGATTTTAACCCTCAAGTCTATACACTTAGGAAAGATATAGAGTACATTGCAGATGAGGGTAATAAACAGAATAATTCACGACTCCCTAAGGGGTTGGGTTTTTTTTCTAGGGGCCAAATGAACAGGAACAGAATGCCTTCCAGCCCTTGAGGGAAGAATGTATTGTGTAGTTAATTCTCCTGGGCACAACTACTACTTTATTCAATGGGAAATTGTATTTTTTATTCAACATCTGTTTTATCACTTTCCTCCCCTTAATCATCTCTTTTTCAACATTGCAGACCACTGAATCATATCCCAAGCATGGAAAAACAATTGCTGGCGATCAATGATTTGTATCCTTTCTGTCTTGATCAGCGGAGGGAAGTTCATCATAAAATAGTTCACAGAGGCATTCGGACTTTATTCCAACCAGTTACTGGGTGCTTGTAGAGTGCAGATGCGTCACTATGTAGCCCAAAGTGAGCTTTTGATACTTGGAAAGCTTTTGAAGTGTATATAGGGCAAAGCTTTCTGTAGATTTGCTGAAACAGTTCCAGTCTTATGTTTTGGAACAAAAGGGGGTCTACTGGTGCAGAATAAAGGTCACAGTAGTGATTGATCAGTACATCCATTGATTTATACATACTGCATACCAGAAACTCTGCTACAGTTCTTTTCTTCTGGTACTTTTTAAATTCTTTGTGGGGCATATTTAATTCCCCCCAATTTGCAGATGAGAAAACTGAGACTTAGAAGCATCGAGTAGAATGCCCAAAGTCATGCATCTGGTCAGTAACCAATTACTAAGTTCTGGTCTGGGTGACTCTAAAACTGCATTCTTTTCTCTACAAAGCGACTTCAAAGAGTTTGTAGAACATGCAACTAGAAGAAGTGTATTTGGGTACAAAAAATAATTGCAATCCATGTATATTTTTCTCTAATACAACTTTCCCATGAGCTTTCTGAAGACCCCTCCTATTCCTTTCCTGTCGCTCTGAAATCTCCAAAACACAGTTTTGTGTTTGGACCCTAGCTGCTGAAATTAGACGAAGTAATGAAGCCACACTGTTGAATCTTTGCTGTCGTATGTCACCATTTCACACACTGCCCTCGGAAAAGGGTGTGAAGGGGGAGGTCCGACACCTCCTGGAACCGCCACTGGTTGCCTAGATGAGCTAGAGCAAGACAGTTCCCTCCGTGTTCTTGCCCAAGGCATCCACTAATGATTACCATCTACCTCTCTTACAGAGCAAATGAGGGCAAGGCCAGGAAAATGTTTGAGGACAAACTGCGGCATAAATGAAAGGCATTAAGTTTACCTGTGTTGATTTGTTGAAGTAGATAAGCAGTGGCTAACTAGAAATTTCAGAATTATCCTTTATCTTCACTTAATTCAAAACAAACAAAGCAAAAAGCAACAAATGTCAGCAAGGCCTTTCAGAAAAAAGAAGCCATCTTGAGTGGCTGCCTCTTTTTTATTTTATTTATTTGAAACACAGAGTTACAGAGGGAGGTAGAGACAGAGAGATCCTCCATCTGTTGGTTCACTCCCCAAATGGCCACAATGGCTGGATCTGAGCCAATATGAAGCCAGGAGCCAGGAGCTTCTTCTGGGTCTCCCACGCAGGTGCAGGGGCCCAAGGACTTGGGCCATCTTCTACTGCTTTCCAGGCCATAGCAGAGAGCTGGATTGGAAGAGAAGCCTCCGGAACACAAACCGTCACCCATATGGGATGCCGGCACCGCAGGCAGAGGCTTAGCCCACAATGCCACAGCGCCAGCTCTAGGTAGCTGCCTCTTGTGACTCTGCCCCTGTCCACTTCACCATGTTCACTCTCCAGACCAATTGTTCCCTTCAGTCTTCCCTTCCAGCTACATCTGATGTCTAAGGTTCTGTTTGCACTCTGGGTACTTTATAATACTTTGGGCTGTAGTCACATCAACATTGTCCCTCCTTTGCTATATTTACTGGTGGAAAATGGAATCTTCTGGTGTCTTCTAGACTTCTCAAATAACAATGACTTTAACTCTTTGTGTAGTGAATTGACTTCTATCAGAAAAGACATGTTTCTCCCTTCACATAGTGTTCAAGGCCATCTCTGGTCTGACCCTTCTGGAATGACCTTGTCTTTTCCCACTTCTCACTTTTCCCAGAAACACAGAACCACTTTGTTGGGTCCGCTGCACCAGCCGTGTGGTTGTTACCTCTGAGCCTTTATTCAGGCTGCTTCCTGTGCCCCTTCCCCACCAGGTTCTGTGTCTTCCCTTGGTTAAGGCAGGCAGGAGAATCCTCACTCTCCACACTTTCTCTGTGCCCACATAGCTCTCTGAGCACAAATGCCCAGTGTCTGTTCCATAGCAGTACTTGGATATAATCTTCTCACCTTCCTTGTTGTCCTGTCTAACCCAAGAATTCCCTCAGAGGGTAACATGATCTTCTTCTCATCCTATCACTTTCATTTTCCAAGAAAGCACTGATGGATGGTAAGTGTCAGAAGTGTTTGTCAAATGAATTAATTTTGATTTTAATGTTATATGCTGAAATTCGACAAATAGGTATTTTGCAGCATTGGTGAGGGGTACTCCTACGCCCAGCTAGTCAAACTGTTTCTGCATGGGCACTCCTTTCTAGTGGTTTCCCTCATGTCCCTCCCCACTGCTCTGCCAAAGAACAGCTTGTTATGAAGCTTTTCAGGAGATGAGGACAGATGGAAGTTATCTATCAAGGACAGATCCTTGAAATTATCTAATTAAAGAAATTATATAACCATAGAACTCTAAGCAAAGTCTAAAACTAGACGTAGCTTGACATTGAGAAAACAAGATCTTGTTATGCCTTTAATGTACCTATCACGGGGTCCAGGATGAGGAACATGGGAACCCACAGAGCTCACACAGTCCTCTGGCAGGGATCCTGGGTCTTCAGCTGTCCAGGGCCTTTGGCTGCTCTTTGTGTGACAAATTTCAACTGTGCGTAAGGCAAATCCTCTGTGGCTGTCTCTCCTATTTTCTAGCAGCGTTTCGTTCCTCTGATGCTCTGGTCTATATGTTCTCCTTTAGCTTTCCTTGGACTCAAGGGCCACACCCAGCAACACAAGCAGATGAATATGCTTATTTGGATGAGTAAGGCCACACGCCTCTCTCCCGCTGACTGAGAGCATCCGTTGAAATGAAAGTGTTGGGTTGCATGGGAGCTGGAATGAGCTGGCTAATTGCTTTGACTCCTCACCATGCTGTGTGTTCAGGAAGATGGAGCCTAAAGACTCTGCCTTGGACATGCATCCCTCCCTCTTCTTGCTGTTTGATTTTTGCTTCTTGTTCTGAGCTGAAGCTCCCTGCCTCCTCCCTTCTCCAAAACCATATTTCACACTTGAATACACTTTCTTCTCTGCTTTTAAAAATTTTGGTAATCAGATGATGATTTTATAGTCCTGATTTATGTTTTAGAAGTTACTTTTCATAAATATCCCAAATGAGATCTATTTGGCCCCTGCTGCAGACCAGATGCTGGTCAGATCTGGCAGAGCAATTGATTTAATCCTGTACATTTTCATAATTGGTAGGAATCAGTTTTCCTTTTATTCTAACATTACAGATTTGTAACAATATGTGAAACAGGCTTCATGCTTTCTCTCTTTGCTTTCATGTATGGTATGGCCTTAATAAACATTTAGTAGTTTCCTGCAAGAGTATCACATACATTAAGATGCTAGGCTTTCATTCTGCTTTCTGTTTTTAGTAAGTGAATTGGGTTAATAGGAAAGATTATTAAAAAAAAAAAAAGAGGACGGGCATAAGGAAACAAGAATGTATATTTTCCTCATTGAATCTTTTCGTTCTTGCTAAGCATCTGACTCTCTTTCTTCTCAGTTTGTACATTCTCTTGGGAAACTCATCATGAGCCTTATTAGGACTTTTCTAGGTTATTCAGGCAAAACCAACTTGTGCCTAATTTTAAATGAGACAATTATTTCAACTCTCAAGCTGTCTTAGTTTGAGCAAGCTTGATAATGAGGGTAGAGATGGCCTCTTCCTTTTTTTTTAAAAAAAGTATTTGTTTGAAAGGCAGAGTGGCAGAAAGAGGGAGGGAGTGGGGGAGAAAGAGGAGAGGGAGAGGAAGTGGGAGAGGGAGAGGGAGAGGGAGTGGGAGAGGGAGAAGGAGAGGGAGAGAGATATCTTCCACCCATGGGTTCTCTCCTTAAATGCCAGAACTGGGTCAGGCTGAAGCCAAGAGCACAGACCTCCATCTGAGTCTCTCACTTGGTTGGTAGGGGCCCATGTCCTTGGGCCATCATGTGCTGACTCCCAGGATGCAGTAGCAGGAAGCTTGATCTGAAGCGGAGGAGCCAGAACTTGAACCTGCACTCCCATATAGGACTCGGGGGTCCCAAGCAGGGGCTGCTGCAGCACAATGCCTGCTCCATGTTGGGCTCTTTATGAAGAATTCTAGCCTGCGTGTGTTGGGCAGGGCTCTGAAGTCCCAGAGAGAAGACCCAGATCGAGTCTGTGCTCCACCGTCACACACCTGATGCATAATTTGGATAGATTCATGAATGGCTTTGGGCTTATATTTTCTCATTTGTAAAATGAAGATCACAATTCTTACTCCTGGCTTATTCTGAAGATTAAAATGGGGCAACCAATGCACAGTGTAACACAGTGCCTATATAATGAACATTCAAAAATATCCTGTATCTAATTTGTCTTCCATAATGAAACGGTGTCCCTCCTTGATGCGGACAACATTGACTTAACATGTCACTTCCAACACCTGTTGAGAGAGAGGGATAATAATGATGTCACAGAAACACTATCAATTCTTTTTTTTAACTTTTATTTAATGAATATAAATTTCCAAAGTACGGTTTATGGATTACAATGTCTTCCCCCCATAACTTCCCTCCCACCTGCAACCCTCCCCTTTCCCGCTCCCTCTCCCCTTCCATTCACATCAAGATTCATTTTCAATTCTTTTTATATACAGAAGATCAGTTTAGCATACATTAAGTAAAGATTTCCAACAGTTTGCACCCACATAGAAACACAAAGTGAAAAATACTGTTTGAGTACCAGTCATAGCATTAAATTACAATGCACAGCACATTAAGGACAGAGATCCTACATGAGGAGTAAGTGCACAGTGACTCCTGTTGTTGACTTAACAAATTGACACTCTTGTTTATGACATCAGTAATCACCCTAGGCTCTTGTCATGAGCTGCCAAAGCCATGGAAGCCCTTTGAGTTCACCAACTCTGATCATATTTAGACAAGGTTGTAGTCAAAGTGGAAGTTCTCTCCTCCCTTCAGAGAAAGGTACCTCCTTCTTTGATGACCCGTTCTTTCCACTGGGATCTCACTTGCAGAAATCTTTCATTTAGGTCATTTTTTCCCTCCAGAGTGTCTTGGCTTTCCATGCCTGAAATACTCTCATGGGCTTTTCAGCAGGATCTGCAAGCCTTAAGGGCTGATTCTGAGGCCAGAATGCTGTTTAGGACATCTGCCATTCTATGAGTCTGCTGGAAACACTATCAATTATAATAGATGAGATTGCACTTTGAAATGTGCTATGTGCTGGTTTTCTTTTCTTTTTGTTTCGAAATTTATTTATTTATTTGAAGGGCAGAGTTACAGAGAGACAGGACACACACACACACACACACACAGATTTTCCATCTGCTGTTTCACTCCCCAAATGGTCGCAACATCTGGGGCTGGGCCAGGCAGAAGCCAGGAGCCTGGAACTCTACCTGGGTCTCTCATCTGGGTTGCAGAGGTTCAAATACTTGGGCCATCTTCTGCTGCTTTCCCCTGCACATTAGGGAGCTGGACTGGGAGTGAAACAGTCGGGTCTGAAATCTGTGCTCATATGGGATGTTGGTGTTGCAAGCAGCAGCTTAATTCACTGTGCCACATTGCTGGCCCCTATAAGCTGGTTTTCATCTCCAAAGGGCAAGACCTCTGTGAATTGTCCTGAAAATGCACCCTGAAAAATCATCTTGCTAAACCAAATGCATATTTTTAGAACTGGGAAGCACGTTATTGGTGGTTTAGCCAAAACCCTCATTTCCAGCTGAGAAAATTCAGGGCTGTAGAGATAGATGGCTTGTCCAAGATCACATAGCTAATTGGTTATACCAGTTAATCAGTAAAGGGACCAACGTGCAAATAGCACAATCATCATTACATTGCTTAGAAAAGAATCATTTAAACTATTATAATAAGTGGCAAACAGATCCTCTAGAAAGACCAGAGACTCAGCTGGAGGAGGCATGACCCTGGAGGAGCCATTCTCTAATTACACCTGTGGAGGGCTCTGCTGGAGAGCCAGCTGCTATTGCCACAGGGCCAAGGCAGTGTAGTTCCCATGACAGGAGTCTAGTGCTGGGCCTGTCTTACACTGCCTCCCTGGGGCTGGATAACTTTCTGCCACGCTTGGTCTCCTGCACAGTGGATTCTGCATGGAGTGCTCTTCCTTCGTGTGTCTTTCTTCTCACTTGAAATAAAGCCCATCTGGTCAAGAGGTAGCTAACGGCCTGAGACTGGACCACCACCAAGGGAGTTCAGGGAAATCAGCTTCTGGCCTGCCTTAGCAGGCAGCCCTCCAGAGGGGGAAAATTCCCCAAGTGGAAAAGGTGTCAGACAGCCCCAGTGTACGTCAGGTGTCTGTCCTCGCTGGAAGACCCAGGTGGCCATCTGGTGCTACTTTTGGTATTCTGCAGTTCTCCCTCTTTAGCACAGGGCCGGCCCTGGTTTCAAATGTGAGTCACAGTTAAGTATGAATATTAAATTTGTCAGGATTCTGCAGGGCTCTTCTCTGGATATCTGCAGAATCTCAGATAGAGAAGTGCATCAACCTTCTCGGATAGAAAGTATCTTTCTAGGATATTAAGTGCAAATAGATTTGGATAAGTAAACAATGCTTCACCTGAGATAACCTTGGGTTTTTATACATATGCTTATATATACACATATTTTTATATAGTCCAACCTTTTGATTTGTGTGGATCAAAGTTATTAAGTTGCATTCTCTGTCCTAATGTGCCCTGGATTTTTTGAGAAATCAGGGAGAAGAGAAGAAGTCTATGTATTCTAGGCCATGAAATCTGATGCTAATTCAAAGAAGGTTCTTAAATGCATAGTTTACTCTCCCTTGCTGAAAAGGAAGCGGTCACTAGGGCCTGAGTGAATTTACAAAGTTGGAAACATTGTGTGTTTAGATCTATTGGGAATGACCTGCTCTAGGCCAGCTGTTGAATACGCGAATCATTAATGTTCTACTTCAGTGTCAGTTATGATTCAAACCTATAAAAGAATAAGGATAAAGAGAGAGAAGGAAATGTAGAGGCAGAAAGAGACTGGTGGACACACAGGAGTAAAAAAAAATTCAAAAAATTAAAAAAATTCATGGGGAAATGTGTATTAAGAAAAGTTATGTGTGGATTTCAGATTTTTTGCACAGAAATAAACTTATCTTTCAAATCCATTTCCATGAACTTTTTGAAGTGCCCTTGCACAAATTGACCTGTCACATCCATTTGGAATATGCCTGTTAAAATTTTTAAAACTGTTCTGGGCACAGATGGGAATTTTTTGTTCTAAAAACTTATTGCAGATTTATTTTATACCAGGCAAAGAAAATAAATATCTTGGTATGTTCCAGAGGCTATGTGTATCATTATTTCATTTAACAATCGCAATCTCTTCCCAGGTAAAAATCATACAATTTGTTGATTACATTATACTTTTTTTTTTTTTGACAGGCAGAGTGGACAGTGAGAGAGAGAGACAGAGAGAAAGGTCTTCCTTTGCTGTTGGTTCACCCTCCAATGGCCGCTGCGTCCTGCGCGCTGCGGCCAGCGCACCGTGCTGATCCGATGGCAGGAGCAGGTACTTATCCTGGTCTCCCATGGGGTGGAGGGCCCAAGCACTTGGGCCATCCTCCACTGCACTCCCGGGCCACAGCAGAGAGCTGGACTGGAAGAGGGGCAACCGGGACAGAGTCCGGCGCCCCGACTGGGGCTAGAACCTGGTGTGCCGGCGCCGCAAGGCAGAGGATTAGCCTAGTGAGCCGCGGTGCCGGCCTACATTATACCTTTTTATAGATCAACATATTATAGCAGAAAGTTGCTCAAGTAAATTGCCGAGCTGTTTCTTTAAGTACCAATCCCCGCTTAGGTCACACTGCCTCTCACGTGTCCCCCAGAAAGAAGCTTGTCTAAATGGGGACCAGGAGAAGGGACATTAGCAGCATTTAATCTGGATCTTTAAGATGTCACCAGTGAAAGAGAAGGGACACTACTTAGCACAGAAAGAACATGAGGCATCAATCCAGAGCCTTGCATTTATTCTAGGTTAATGAGTTGAAGCTCTCTCTTGGCCAATGGGGATTAACAATCAAGAAAATGATATGATCCTGTATTGTAAGTTGGTGTTTTACTTAACAGCCTAATGAAATAATTCTAAAGATCATATCTGCCTGAAGGAGTTAGATTCCTGTATGTTTTCTAGTGATGAGAGCTTATCTTGCGTCCTCCATTTCTCTGCCCCCTCCACCTAACTGAACACCACCACTCATAAACACAATGGAAGCCAAAGAAGAGAACAGGATTTGGTAAAGCAGTGAACTGAAGACTTTGGTACAATTATCAGTTCATGCATGTTGTAGACATGGCCATAATTTAAACAAAAATCTCCAAGTACTGCATTCTTCCAGAGTTTGAGATATTAACATTGCTAAAAATAATGTGGGATTGCTAACGGAGGAAAAACAACTTGGCCTTTGGGCAGCGCTCAGCCAGCGCAGCAGGCCCATGGAGTGCTGGTAGAATGACTTTGTGCTGTCTGGATTCTTTCAGCTCATCAGTCTGTCCTGCACGAACGTTATGCTCCTCTCATCACTCTTAGGAGCCAGGTCAGCATCTACGTCTGTCTTAATGTTCTGGATTGGAAGAATCTGAAGTTACCATTTTCAGGTGTCAGCCTTTCAGACTTCTCAGGGGCTTTGTGACAATGTTCTAAGCTTCATGGGAAATCCATGGACTTTACATGCTCTGGTTCTTACTCTGTGGTTGGCAGCTTGCTTGCTTTCTCTCTTTCTCTCTTTCTCTCTTTCTCTCTTTCTCCCTCCCTTCCTTCCTTCCTTCCTTCCTTCCTTCCTTCCTTCCTTCCTTCCTTCCTTCCTTCCTTCCTTCCTTCCTTCCTTCCTTCCTTCCTTCTTCTTTAAAAGTAGAAGTGGATCTGGAACAACTAAAAACTTTTTGGGTGCCTTAGAATATAATAAGTCTGTAATAGTAGATCTTCAGGACAGAGTCTTGTGTTAAGATTTTTACACAAAAATACGTTAATATGATAGTTTTTCTCAGGACAAGGTATCCAATATATGTACATGTAGCATATGTTTGTTGGAAGATTATTCCAAGACTAAAAAGACTTGAAATTGCCTTGATCATTGTTTTTTTTTTTTTTTTTTTTCCATAGTGCATTTGTGTTATCCTCAGCTTACAGACCACCCTCCCTCGTGCTCCCCCCTCCTTTGCTACCTGGGCCTATCTGTTATGCAGGTAGAAGCAGGTACACAATTCCCCTTTCCCCTCCTGGATCCTGATTTAGTAAGAAAATGTAGGAACTTGGATGTTCTCTGGGCCCTGGATTTCTCAGGGCTCCTGGAGAGGCTTGGAGTGCCTAGGACACCAGGAACCAGCCTATACATACTCTTAGGAATCTCCAACATGCAGGGATCAGTGTTCTGGATTTCATTTGATCAAGCTATAGCATTATGGAATTTTTTTAAAAAGATTTATTTTATTTATTTGAAAGACAGAGTTACAGAGAGAGGTAGAGACAGAGAGAGAGGTCTTCTATCCGCTGGTTCACTCCCCAGATGGCCGTCAACGGCCAGAGCTGCGCTGATCCGAAGCCAGGAGCCTGGAGTTTCTTCCGGGTCTCCCACACCGGTGCAGTGGCCCAAAGACTTGGGCCATCCTCCACTGCTTTCCCAGGCCATAGCAGAAAGCTGGATCAGAAGAGGAGCAGCTGGGACTAGAACTGGCGCCCATAGGGGATGCCTGCACTTCAGGCCAGGGCATTAACCCGCTGCGCCACAGCACTGGCCCCACCATCATGGAATTCTAAGACTGACTCTGTCCACTGCAAGATCTTGAGAAGTCTCCAACTACTTCTGAATAGGTGTGATTGTAGCGGGGATATGGCTATTAGGAAAGGTGGCACTTTGCCTTTTCTTCTTTCAAATCCAGATGCTGGGGAATGGGGAATTTGATATTTCACGTTAGTGTGCCTTGCAGGTAATTTGTAAACCCAATTCCATCAATAAAGTCGCCTGCCCCAGTGACTGGTGCTGTCACCTGTTGACATCTGATCTGCAAGTGACTCCCTGAGGTCGTGGGGACCAGCCTGCACCTGGATCAGTGGCCAGGTGCTCCTGAAAGTGGCCAATCTTGTGGGCAACACATTTGTTTTTGGAATGTAAATCGCTTCTCACAAGGCTCAACATTTGGACTGCCTGGCCCCAGTCAGGTACTAGGAAATCACACCATAGCCCCTCAGGTGGGACCAGGAAGCCAGTCAGGAGCTCCGAGAAGCCCCTGAGCTGCTGTTGACAAACAGCAATCTGATGTAGTGTTATTTCCTCCAAGTCTCCAAGGTTCTGGGGTCTCTCCTTGCTAGTCTTTGGGGAAATGAAGAAGCTTGCCCCTCTTCCCTCTGTCTGTGTCCATGGATCTCACATGGCTTGCCTCCTGTTCTCTCCACGTGCCGTTAGGCTGTGAACCGGTAATGCCGATGGTAATCATTGATCCCCCAAGATTTTTACGTCTTGTCTCTCTCAGCCTGGCAAGGAGTTGAGGTAGAAGCACAGAAAACCCCCTGGGTAGCCCTACATACGCAAGCCTTGCCTGTGTGTTGCTGAGGAAGTGGCCCAGCACATGCTTTTCTGTTTAAGTGAAAGGTTAGGGTGCTATAAACCTTGAAGCTTGTCACGATTAAGCAGCATTGGGCAGAACGATGTGCTGTGAGCGCCAGCCTCTAGTTATTGGGTCCAACCGCATTTTAGTGAAATGAGATTGCCTAGCTGGAGTTTCATTTGTGGGCTTGTAAGTGAAGGCTGCATGGCAGATGCTATGATTAAGATTTCATTTCCTGGTTGATGGTACCACAGTGATCACAGCACTAGCAGGGAAAGCTCCTATTTGCTGGCAAGGTTAAATAGTGAGTACTTCTGAGTTTAATACAAAGATTAAAAACAAAAAGAAACCACTCCCACCACTGCCACCACCACCATCTGAGCACCAGGTTGATTAAGGAAACTGTCTTTCATGATTCGCAAGAGGAAGCTCTTTCATTAATGCCTTAAAGATACCAACTTTGCTTGAAGATAACAACTTTTTTCCTCCCCATTCATTCCTTCATTCGTTCATTTATGGAGTGTCTATGGCGTTAGATGCTGGATATTAGTGGTGAATAACATAGCCACATCCTTGCTGTCATGGAGAAAGACAGAGATGTGTTTAAAACAAAGAAACAAATATGCTAGGTTGTGATAAGGATTATAAAAAATGAAGTAAGGGAGACAAAGCAATGGAAGAGAAGAGCAGATTGATAAAGGTACAGAAGGGCTTCTCTGGAGAGACGCCGCTTAAGCAAAGGCCGGAAGGAAGGGAGGGAATGAACTTGGAGGTATTGGGGGAGGGTAGCGTTCCAGGCAGCAAGGTAGGTGGGCGTGAGCTGGGAGCATCCTTGGCCTATGGAGGAATAGCTAGGGGCCAGAATGACTGGACTGCAGTGGCCAGAGTAGGGAAGAGTGGTAGAGGCTGCTGTTAGAATGAGTCTCCCACAGATTTTGAGAAGGAGGTTGATGGGATCTTTTAAAACTTCCCCCTGGCTGTTGTGTTTACAGACCGTTGCAATAATCTAAGTGAGAAATGATGGCAGCGTGGAGTCTGTGACTGGGTGGAGCGATAAGGAGTGGTTGGATTCTGGATGTCCATCAACGGCTGAGCTTTCAGGATGTCTCCCAAAGGTAGATGTGGCTGTGAGCCAGAAAGGAGGCCAGGGTGTGCTCATGTAGTTAGCCTAAGTACCCGGACAAGGTAAGTGCCATTTTTTGTTTGAGATGGAGAAAAGTGAAGAAGGGTGAACGTTTTGTGTGTCCATTGTCTGGGTTTAGACATGGTAAATCCGAGATGCTTAACACTCGTCTCAGTAAAGATGTTGGTAAGAAATTGGAAAAAGGGAGACTGGAGTTCAGGGGAGTGTTTGAGGCTACAGCTATCTGTTTGGGGGCTTCCAGCACAAAAGATGTGTTCCGCCAGTCATGGGACCAGGTAAGGGCCCCCAGGCCTTTGCTGGAGGGGGGCCTGTCTGACACTTGTAGGCTGAGGAGATGAGGAGGAACCAGCAGAGGGGGCTCGGAGGAGCTGCTGAGTGTGGCAAGAAAACCAAGAGAAATCCGTGGCCCAGGGGCTGTGAGAAGAGGCTTTAAGGAGGAGGAAGTGGTCCAGTGTGTCGAACGCTCCTGGAGGTAATAGGAACAGAGCTAAATCCCCACTGAGTTTGGCAATGGGGAGCTCCTCAGTGGTCCTGGCAAAGCAGACGGCAAGGAGACCGTGGTTATGGGTGGCTCTTTCAAGAACTGCGACTGTAGAGCAGAGGAGCTATCAAGGAACAGTCTTCTTCAGCAAACACCTACCACAGGTGGGTCCTGTTTCACTCTCCTGGAGCCCTCCGTTGGGAACTGGAGCGGCAGGGCCAGGGGCTTTGGCCAGGCAAGTGCCTCCAACATGATGACTTAATGGTGTAAGTGCCCCTGAGACTGATGCAGCCACACTTGAGCACTAAGTAGGTCCATCCAAACAAGTCCAGGAAGGCTTCCCAGAGGAAGTGATGCCTAAGCCAAGCCAAGCCAAGCCAAGCGGGAGAGTAGCCTTTAAGTTATGCATAGGTCCTGTTTAGTTACCACTTAATTTTGCCTTTTGAGGACTTTTAGCCATTGTTACATAATAATTAAAGGGTTGCTGGTGGGCAGAATATTGTCTTCTTTTTGTTCTATGCTGGTAAGGGCTAAAGTTTATCCCCTCCCCAAAGAGCAGACCATTCAAGCCCCTCCCACCCCCCAACCCCCAGCTTTTCCCCTGTCCCTCTCGTATGACACTCTTACACTTTATGCTTCTTAATATGGGGGGAGACCAGATAAGCCAAGTCTGAAGGGCAAGGTGCAGGTCTGTAAGTGGGCAGGGCAGCAGGGCACTTGCCAAACACGGTCAGGTACGGTCAGGTGTCTGCCTCCCGCTGTGGACGGCTGCATTAATGGTGTGTTGGGAGGGTTGAGAGAAAGACCTGGATGAGTCCATTTCCAGTAGAGTTTCCTTCCTATTTATTCTCCCCCCCCCCCTTTTTTTTTTTAAGATTTATTTATTTGAAAGGCAAAGAGAGAGAGAGAGTCTTCCATCCACTTGTTCACAGCCCAGATGGCTATAATGTATAGGGCCAGCCCAGGCTGAAGTCAGAATCCAACAGCTCCATCCGGGTACTTAGGCCATCTTCTGCTGCTTTCTCAGGCATGTTGGCAAGGAGCTGGATCAGAAGTGGAGGAACTGGTGCTCATATGGGATGTGGACATCCCAGGCAGCAGCTTAACCTGCTGTGCCACCGTGCTGGCCCCCTTCCTATCTCTTTACAGCTAAACCACCCCAGCTCCTCTAGGCGAATATTGTGACGGAGAATGCTTGAAGGGAAAAGTGACTTACAGTGGGCAATTTCAGGCAGTGTGGTGACAGTCTGGGGGATAAGGGTGGCAGGCAAAGTTCCTCAAGAACCCCCCGGGTAAGCCCAAATGAACACTGACCTTGCAGTAGCAGACAGGTGAGTGGCCTAGTTGGGCTTGCTGCTGTAACATCACAGAAGGCCACGGACAGTGTTGGAGTGGGAGTCAGAGCTGGTCCTCCTCCATGCGGGCGTAGTATCAGGACTTACGCAGATCGAGGCTTCCTGGCTTCCTCCATGCAAGTCCAGCTTAGGATTTGAGCGAAGATGATTGCCTGGGCTCTCAGAGGCCTGAGCATGTAGTCATGGTGCTCTGGAAAATTGCTCAGGTGGGGCTTGGTTAACTTGTTCATTAGATGGGACTTTGCTGGACCATCTGCCTTGCGGGGAAGTAGACATCCAATGAAACCTGTCAGATAACGGTAAAATGTAGGGTTTTACATAAATGCAAGGCCTTACCCTTCTGGCACGAATTCCCTTTTGTTCCTCGTTGTCTTCCAAGCCCATTATAGGTGCGTGGCTGCGGAGGGCCCCGATGGTGGAATGGATGAGTGGAGGAATCAGGCGTGGCTGGCTGGCTGGCAGTGTGGGGCTGCCTTCGGCAGGGAATCCTGCCACACCTGGGCTGATTGACAGCGGCTCACGCGTTCCCTTCCCCCTCACTTCGGATGGGCCTGTGTTTTCCCCTTTTAAAATGCCATTTTGGAAATCGGCTCTCCCCCGGAGAATACATTAAGGTAACTCTGCTTGTGGTAATCTCCTTCCCTCAAAGGCTCATTATTTAAATGATTGCTCATTATTAGCAATCCTATTTCCCCTGGCAGCTGTGAGGTGTGATGACATTTTCAGGTTTCTCAAAGCACCTTGGGAACTGCTGTGCTAAGTCCGGGTTGCCCCCATTGGCGTGGCGGCCACAGGGAGCAGCGGAAGGAGGCGGCGGCCACCACCTCCAGCGACTGGCCAAGAGAGATGCTCAGACTTCCCCACGGAGGGCCCTCTTCTGGACCAAGCTCGTGTTCTGCACTTCCTGAAAGAGAGAGCAAGCCAGAGGGAACCTGGTTATCGTCCTGGGATGTGGTGAGCCCTACCTGACAAGGCTGGACCAGCCTGGTTTCTTTTGGGTTAAGGATCAGGAGCAAGAGTTCATCAACAAGGTGGGAAGGAGAGAAGCAGATAAAATCTGTCTGTGGTTTTAGAAAAAAAAAAGAGAGAGAGAAGAGAGAAAAGTTCCTGCTTTTCTTTTCTGCGTGAGAAAAACTATTTAACCTGGCACAAAATAGATTTAAGAAGCATATTCTTAGAGTGACTTAGGAAAAATACCCTGTATTTTCTGGCAGCAGGAAAATGTATCCTTAATAGAATTCATATGGGGCCTTCAATGATCACGATGTTTGGAGAGGAGCCAGATAGTAAGTAATTTAAACATCACAGGAAATTAAATTTTAGAATTCAATTTTGCATAAAGTTTTCTGTAATGAAAATGTCACACATAAATTATGAAGTCTGATTATATTCTTTTTTGACTTTTTAATAAAATAATAGAGGTACTTGACAGTCAAGAACAAATGCATATTTTATGTGAATAGTATTGCGTTCAGCCAACGTCCTCTGGAAATAATGGAACAGATGTTAACACTGCTCTATCAGCGATCAGGTGCTCTGTTAAACAGCTCCAAACACAAGTATTTATTAAAAAATGCTAACGGGGTTGTCTTTTAGGGTTATCTAATTGTAGGCTTAAAATGTAGTTGGTTAATGTAATTAATTATACATGTAGAATTATATAGTCAGGCTATAATTTATTATATGTATGCATATATAAATTATATAATATTCTGTTGCAAATTAATTTAATATGGGCACAGGGAATGACTTCTTGAAAATATTAAATAGTTCATAATGTGGTTATAAATCAAAACTAATCTGAATTTCCACTTAATTTTGAATTTTGAGAAGGAGGATGCTTTAACTCACTGTAGGGGACTTTGGGGGTGCTGATTGTGTTTTAGATTAAATCCACAGCCTGTAATTATTTTTAATAATATTCAACTAAAAAACGCCCCAAATAAAAAGCCTGAGCACTCTTAATTTGTTTCAGGCCAAGCAGCATTTTTCTTCAAAGCAAAAAATATAATGAACGTTTATTTTGAAAATTGACCTCCTCCATCATAACTCCAGGGCCCTAAGCAGGTCTTTCTTCAGGCTCACAATGAACTCTTGCACAATGCAGAGTTCATGGTGAACTCAGCTTGCTTTCGGGGGGAGCGAAATCTTGCCTATGGATGTCCCATTTAGTATTTCCGTCTTTGAGTCCCATTATGACCTAATCTATAAACTTCGTATTGGGGAGAGGGGGGCTGTGCATATTTGAAACCTTTAAAGAGTACAACAAAGCTTTCTTGCTTAATCAGAGTCACACAAAAATGTAGGCCAGACTGTGCATCCAGACGCTTGCGAGTTTTTTTGGAAAGTGGATCATGTCTGTTCACAATGGAGGGAAGATGAAGACCATGGATGTCTTTCTGTTTCCATCAGCTTTTCCGCAAGGACGATGACTAGGGTGACCAACTTGCTCCAAGTTGCCTGGGACTCTCCTCGTTTTAGCACTGAAAATTCTGTATCCCAGGACCTCCCAAGTCTCCAGTAAATCAGGGTAGTTGATCATCCTAGCCATGCGCCACAGAAGATACACGTGCAAAAAGCGTTTGCTGCCTCTACCCACGTGGCCTGGAGAGACAGAAGTGCCTGTGTCCATCGAGGCTGGCTGCTGCCCTTTGATTTTCCCATGTCCTGGAACTGGCCTTTAGCTTTGTACATTCAGTCTTGGATATTATAGGATGAGCTGTGGTCGATCAGTTTTCATGTGACCGACAGAAGAAGCTTAGTGGCTGAAGGAAGGGCGACTCCAGCTGCTTTGTAGAAGACTTAGTGTGAGCAAGCACTGAGTTCTGATTGAGCCAGCTTGCTAAGATGTGGGGCTGCTGTGTTGTGGTCATTTTGGAAGTTGTCTGGAAGAGGGGTGCTGCTGCTGGGAAAACCTAACAGACACAGCATCGCCTGGGCCTGCGGAGGTGGACTTTGAGGAGACTAAAACTGGAAGCTGGAAACTTGATGGCCGCTGGGGTGTTGTGGCAAAATGTCTTGGTGAGCTATTGTTTCTCATAAGCAGGCAGGCGGATCACATACCGAATGGACTTGCAGTGCTCTGAGAAGAGGGTGAAGGCAGGATCTTCGCAGTGTGTGATAGTACTGGCCACGTCTGACAAGATATGACAAGGAAGAGGTGGGCACAGGGGCGCAGTGGACAGCTTACAGAGCAGAGAATAAAAGGTAGAGAAGGAGTTCAAAGTTCCAGGCCTTGAAATTTGGAAGGGTTGATTTGCTCTAGAACCTAAACAGTCAGAGATGGCAATTACAAGACTCTGAGAGAAGAAGGCCTTTCAGTTGATTCACACGGCTCAAGGCCATGGTGCCTGTGCTCACCGTGCGGCTTTGCTGTTCAAGCCTGATCGTCTCATTTCAATATACGCCTCCAGGCTGAAAGAAAAAGGCACAAAGTAAGGAAGCAATGAAATAAAACAGATACAAGGACTCACCTGCTGAGACAGTCTTTACGCAGGTGCACTGACTCTCCAATGAAGTGAGAAGCTAAGATAGCTTTTGGGGAACGACATCATGCAAACAATCATGAAAAGGTATCTTCTCCACCTTTCATGTGGAGAACTTAAAGGCATTCTAGTAGGGAAAATTGGAACCTGTTGGGTGGTCCCTATGTGGTTAAAATTCCCCAGAGGGCTAAAGAGAATAATGAAAGGAAGACTCTGCTAGAGGATGAGTGAAAGAGCCAAGGAGAAGAGGAGGAGGGCGCTCTTGTCAGAGAGCAGAAGTGTGGCCCCACCGAGGAGCCTCCCCGCTGCCTGCCCAGCCTGGCCATGGCTCAGTGACGGCCGTGTGTCCTCCACTGTCTCTCTTCAAGGGAAGTGTTTAACCACAGTGTACACACACAGATGCCAGTACTTCAGAAAGATTGTAGAAAAGTGGAATGAAAAGATCAGTTTATTTGGGTGTAAAAGTTTGAGATCTATGTATAATTTTTTTTTCCATAATACACGTGAATTTTCTGAAGACTTCTCCCCTGCCTCCCCCTCATATGTGAAAAGGGAGTAGAAAATTTTTTTTTTTCAATTAGGACCTCAGGACCAACAAAAGTCACACCTATTTGGATCTGATGAGAGACAGCTGGACATGACCCAGAAGAAACTCTGAACCTTCAGTTTGATAGAGCAGTGACTGGATGTAACTTTGGCTTGTCTGCCTTGTGGAGGGGTTAAGTGAATTCTGTGTTGGAAGAAGGAAAAAAAAGAAATATTTGGTGATGAAAAGGGTGGATTGTGGCAGGTACAGTAAATGATGATCAGCTATTCTGTGTGCTCACTTGACATCTCCCAGCCTCCCTGCAGTGAGATGGGGCATGCGATTACTGAGTGAAAGTGCCTATTCCTACACGTAGTGATTCCCACTCTTTTCACACAGATTCTTATTGTTTTATTTTTAACTTTTGCTTTAGACAAGACCTCCTAAGTTGCTTTTACATTTCTATGTGTCCTTCTTGGAACCTACATGACTCATACTCACTACCAGTAGATGACACATTGTTTTTTTCTGGTGAAAATGTTATCTAGCATTTAGGGACCAAAGCTTAGTCTATGTATAACTAACACTGGACATGCTTCTCTGATCCACCCATCTTGGAAAGAGAATCTTGTTTTTTATGTCTGCCATTTTTGGAATGAACTAGAAGTGCTACATATGAATACGAGAGATTTCATTACCTCCAGAGCACTGTCTATGTTAAGCTCTCGCCGTATTTGTCAACTGGGGAAACTAGCTGAGCGAGTCTTACAGAGAATGTGATTGGCTAGAATTACGAGTTCACGGTTTTGGACCACTGCTCCAAAGTGTTACCCTAAGGATTTCAGCAATTCTATCTCTTGGCCTAGAAAGAAGATGACTCATTCAAGTAGAATCTTTCCTTGAGTGAAAATGTCATGAGAGAGACTATTGCTGATGTGGTGGCCAAAAGGGAGACCCTTATCCAAGTAATTGCTTCCTGACCTGCGGGTCTAGAGCCCTGATTTTATTGACATCTCTGATTGTCAGGAATACCAGCGGCATTGCTAATGTGAACGGCCTTATCTAAAGGTGTGCATTCCTTTCTTCTGAACTGCCTTCCACAGCACACATGTGGAACTCGCTCTACTTATGGATCTTAGCAGATGGGAGGAGTGATTTATCTTCCTCTGATCAGCTAATTCTTACAAACTACTGTCTTCCCTCTTAGCAAGTTTTACAATTTCAGGGGACAGCACTTGGGAAGGTGGCTAGCAGAGTAGGCCCAAGGAATAGTGCTGATGTCCACTAGGTGGAGGCCAGGGTGAAAGGGTCAGGGAGGGGAGTTTTCTCACATGATGTGGGATGTTAGTGGGATGATTTCTTACTGGGGCTATTGAACATGCCCCAAATGCTAGGTAATGAACTTCAGGTGGCTGGGGGTAGGAAGAGACAGGTTTTGTCTGTTGACAATCAGATTCAGGTTATATCATTCCATGTTATCATGCAGATGCAAAAAAAAAGTAACTTCAGAGAGTTTCCTCATCTGGATATTCAATACCCAAGTTTCCTTGGTTTCCAGTAAAAGTTACTGTGTCATAAAACATTAATGAATAAAGTGGTTTCCTATAAAATTAGCCCTCTCTCCACACTGATACCCATTTCTGCTCGTAGCATTTTGGCTTATTGGCTCTGCAGGTTTTCTGATGTGGCAGATATCTGATGATAAAATATAAACACAAGAGAAAATGAAACATTTTTCAAAAAAGTGCAAGATCTCATGAAGTTGACAAAAGTGATGTTGGAAACCTACTTGAATCACATGATGGATGATTGACAAACGAGCAGCTGTCAGGATTAACAAGTCCAAAGTCAGGAAGGATGACCTATCAGGGACGTTTGAAAGAGAAACGTTGAAATTTCCTTGTTTTCCCCTTGGAAAACTTGCTGATGCTCTTGGGTATAATTGTGACAATGACCTTTCCTAGGATCTTTGGGGCATGTAAAAGTGAAGACTGCTGTCATTTTACTTTAGTTTGAATGGGAAAGCTACATGAAACCCAAGCAAACCAATCAACACATGGTACATCCTTTTTTGTTCATTCTAAAAATTATCAGCTAGTCGCACTTAGGGGCAACACTTTGTAAATGCTTATCTTTGTAAATTTAGTTTTGTTTAACAGAAGCTTTGTCCACTATTTCATTTAATTTTCATAATAAGTAACTAAAATAGAGAATAGAGAAAATGGAATACCAAGCATATAAGTAAAATTATAGATATTTTTTCATAATAATGTGTAATTATGTAATTTTATTTATGTATTTATATATAATCACTCCACTCAAAAGGTAGGCTTTTGAAAAAACGTAGTGGTATTTACCAGATCATTTCCCCCTTTGGTTAGCCCCTCCAAGACTTTACACCCTCAAGTTTATTGTCTGCTGGTAAGCATTGTCTTGATATTTAAATGAGTCATTTATTTAGCCATTTACATGGAGCTGCTTACTTGAATTTATGTGTTCTGATCCTTAATCATTTCTCAGGAATTGATCCCTGCTCCCTTGGTCCTGTATGTTGGTGTGAACTCACAAGGTGAGGCAGTAGAAGACAAGATAGATGTAAATCAAAACCCTCCTCTGGGTCTGTGAAATCCGCTTGACTGGTTAAAGCCTTAGTTTCCTAATCTTGAAAATGGGGTTAACACCATCCTTTTATCTTCCTTACGTGGTTGCTGTGGTTTCAAATGGGATAATGTCCTTGGCTGGGTACACTTTATATGCTGGAAATGGAAGTGACACTGACTGAACCTTGATTAGGAGCCATGTGCTGGGCTGAGTGTCTTTGCAGACCTCATCTCCTGTGCAGGATTTGGATATGATTACACAGCATGACTGTCCTAATTGTCTTTGATTATTGTAAAGCAAATTCCCTGCTCTAGTTCTTTGCTCCCTCACCGTGGAGACCTCCAATCCCATTATGTCTTCCTGAGTTGTTTCTAATAGCCTCACTCAGCCTCTCCCTGGGTGAGTAACTCACTGTAGCCCTGTGACCCTGGACACAGCCTGCACAAAAGCAAGGACCACCCAGTAACTCAGGCTCCAGGTTGTGCAGCCATCTCAGGGCTCCCATTTCTTTCCTGCCCCCAACTTTCAGCAAATTAAAAAGATTTGTCAATTCCACCTTTGCAGTTACTCCTGAATTCATTTCCACTCCTCTCTCCTTAGCTATCCGCCTATTTCAGGTTGTTGTTAGGTCTCTCTCAGAAATCCCCTAAGCCCCCTGCTGGTGGAGGCTGGGCCTTCCTGAAGGCAGCTGAGGAGGCAGCAGGCCTCTGTCTAGGGCCTTGGTCTTAGGATTCACTTTGACATTGACTGACTCCTACTTCCTCAGCTCTAGCGGTGGTGCTGAGAGGGTGACTTGATGACATGAGTTGCAGGGCTTTAGCTACCCCATAATTTCCATCACAACTTATTAGACCCACCCTAAAAATATACCATCCAAGTTTAATTAGGTTCACATAGCTTTAAGCCACCAATATCCCTTCTGATGAGTGTGTCATTGCGGAGTTCCCTCTAATGTAGGAATTCCAGAGCCATGGGACCTAGCCCTGTAACTGGGTTTTCTTGACATCTTCCTGGTCTGATTTGACCTACTCTGTATGCTGGATTCAGCTTTGCTGACTGTTTTGCCTGTTTCTAAATTTTGATTTTATTCATCTTTTAGACTCCTGACTTCTTCAATTACCCATGGTCTGTTCCTATTCTAGACCACACTAATTCACCTACAAATGAAGGGAATGAGGAATACTGTAGAATGAGACATAAAAAGTGAAGTTTGAAGATGGTGGATTTAACACTGGTTTGACTATTTTACATTAAGACCAGACACACACACACACACACACTCATATATAGGCTCGTAAGTAATTACTGAAACTAATGTTCACATAAATAGTACCTAACACTAGCACATGTAATGAATTCTGATCTTTTCTATTCTATTGTATTCAATTTTTGCAAAAAAGTTACCATTTCTGACCCAGCAACTTCTCCTGATGGACTAAAGCAGCTGATTTTGCTGTATATAGGTGTTGTTCTAAGGAAAAGTGGAACTGAGCTGGGAAGGATCTCATATCTAAGAGTTACCAAGGTTCTATCAAAATTTGAATTGTTTATGAGTTGTCTCCTCTTCTTACAGTTTTTTTGTAAGAGGGAAAGGCAGAGGGAGAAAGAGATCTTCTATCTGGTTGGTCATTATCCAAGTGTCCCTGATAGCCAGGCCTAGGCCAGGCCAAAGCTAGGAGCCCAGAACTCCATCCAGATCTCCCTCATGAGTGGCAGGGACCCCAGTCCTTGGGTCATCATCTGCTTCCCTACAGGTACATTAGCAGGAAGCCAGATCAGAAGTGGAGTAGCTGGGACTTAAA